GCACTTACTCTTGCACATCTTGCTTTTTTGTTTGGTTTTGGGCACAACCGGCAGCGTTACTCAGGGGTTAGTCCCGGCTCTTCACTCAGGAATTACTCCTGGCAGTTTTGCTGGGGACCATATAGGCTACTGTGGATTGAACACAGGTCGGCGACTTGCAAGGCAAGTTCCTTACCTGCTCTACTATCTCTCCAGACCTTTCATCTTGATTTTATTGAGACTCTATGACTGCAACTTCCTAGCTGAGAGAGGTGAAAGAGGTTTTTTACATTTTGAGTACCACGTTTCCATGATGGCCACAATCAGATGCAATGAGGGAGATTTGCCTAAACTGGTCTCTTGCTCATGCTTGGCTGTGGATGGGTGTAGTGGTGCATAAAGCTGCAGCTAATATCAATGCCATTGTCAAGTACCTTCTAATTCATGCATTAGAAAAAAATTCTTAATTTTTTTAATGATTGAGGGGCTGGAGCATTAACTCCTGAGCATTGCTAGGTGTGGACCAAAAGCAAAAAAAGTTTTCGATTGTGACTATAATTTACAATGCACTGTAGCACTGTCCTCCCGTTGTTCATCATTTTGCTCGAGTGGGCACCAGTAACGTCTCCATTGTGAGATTTATTGTTACTGTTCTTGGCATATTGAATATGACACGGGGAGCTTGCCAGGCTCTGCCGTGCGGGCAGGATACTCTCGGTATTTTGCTGGGAACTCCCAGAAGGACTCAGGAATCAAACCTGGGTCGGCCACGTGCAAGGCAAACGCCCTACCCGCTGTGCTATCGCTCCAGCCCATGGTTTACAATACTATGAATAATGGTTTCTCATGCACTTAATTCCAACACCACACCCATCACCTACTTGTCGTTCATAAGGATATCAACTCCTCTCCCTCTGAAACCCCCAACTCAGATATGTAAATCAGTCCTCCCATTATGTTGATCCTTTTGGTTCCCTTTAAGTCCCACATATGACAGAGATCATTCTATATCTATCCTTTTCCTTCTGACTTCACTCAGTATGAAGATCCATCCCTGTTGTTGAAAATTGCATGCTTTTAAATGCATGCTTAAAGCTATGCATGCTTAAATCTGCATAGCTTTAAGAATAAAACAGAATAAAACAGCTTTATTTATAAAGCTGTTCCTTTAAAAATGGGGACATTAGGGGCTGGAGCAATAGCACAGAGGGTAGGGAGTTTGCCTTGCATGCGGTCGACCTGGGTTCGATTCCCAGCACCGCATATGGTCCCCCAAGCACCACCAGGAGTGATTCCTGAGTGCAGAGCCAGGAGTAACCCCTGAGCATCAGCTGGGTGTGACCCAAAAAGCAAAAAAAAAAAAATTAAAAAAATAAAAATGGGGCCATTAGTGGTGGGAAATATACAAATGTAACCAGGCGAAGAATGTGTGTTGAAACATTGTATGACTGAAGCCTAATCATGAACTCAATTTTAAACAGAGCTAGATAGTATTCCATTGTGTACATACACCACAGTTTCTTTTTTAGTGAATGTCCTTGACATACACAGTTACAAAGTTGGTCTTGATTGAGCTTCAGTCATACAATGTTCCAACATTTGTCCTTCACCAAATGTACCACTGTACATTTCCCACTACCAGTGGAAACATTTTTCCTCCCCCTTTCCCCATGCCTCTAGGGCAGACACTTCTCTCTTCTCTCTCTCTTTCCTTTTGGGGCACTATGGTTTGCAATACAGGTACTGATAGGTTATCATGTATATTCCTTTACCTCCTTTCAGCACTCAGTTCTTGTCCAAGGTGATCATTTCTAATTATCATTGTAATAGTGGTCCCTTCTCTATCCTAACTGCTCCCCCCCACACTCCTGGTAAGCTTTCAATTATGGATCTGTCCTCCTGGCCCTCTTTTCAACTGTAATTGGGTATTAGTCTCACACTATGTATTTTTATGTTACCACAAATGAGTGCAATCATTCTGTCTGTCCCTTTTCCTATGACTCATTTTGCTCAGCAAGATTCTCTACATGTCCATCCATGAATAAACAAATTTCATTACTTCATTTTTGAAGTCTGGAGGCTACATAGTATTCCATTCTACTGTTTCCCCATCTCAACCCCTTTCCATGAATAGGTGTGTATATAAAATAGATCTTTTCTTTGTCCAGTCATCTGCTCTCAGGCTCTCAGGTAGTTTCCAGATTCTGACTAGTGGGAATAGTGCTGCAGTGAACAAAGAAGTGCAAATGGCTTTTCTGCATTGTGTTTTTGGGTCCCTAGGGTATATTCCCGGGAGCTTATACCACGACTTCTAGATCCATTCATCTGTAATTGGGCATTGTGTTGTTTCCGTATCTTGGCTATTGTATGAATTGTGGGACCAAAACGCAAAAAACATTAATATGATAGGGGTCAAAGTGATAGTACAGTGGTTACAATGCTTGCTTTGCCTGTGGCCAACCCAAGTTCACTCCCCAGAAGTCAGGATGTTCCTCTAAAACCACAAGGAGTGATCCCTAAGTGCAGAGTCAGGAGTAAGCCCTGAGCACCAAAGGTTGTGGCTCAAAAACAAAACCAAGACATAAATTTGATCGAAACAAAATTCTGCCAAATTTGCAGATCTGATAGCTTCTGGACATCTTCATATAGATGTCTTGCCAGTCTCATCATTGCAGTAAGTTCCCTAACTTTCTCTCCTTAAATCATAAGGTGTGGGTAGAGAAATAGTATAGTAGGGTGCTTGCCTTGCATGTGGCTGATGCGGGGGGGGGGGGGGGAGCGGGGATTATACCTGGCATCCCATATGATCTCCCAAAAACATCCAGGAATAATTTTTGAGCACAGAGCCAGGAGTAACCCCTGAGCATTGGGGGGTGGGTATGACCCAAAAACAACTTTTTTTAAATCATGAGGTCCCTGCAAGACGAGTTCCCTAACTCTTGCCTGCCCAACTATGTCTGCCCAATCCCCTATAACTCTAATTCTTGGTTAATTTTCTCCCCCTAGCCAGTCATTTTTTACTAAGTGTCCATTCTTTTTGTTATTTGAGGCCACACCTGGCAGTGTTTAGAGCTTACCCATGGCTCTGCAGTCAGGGAAAACTCCTGGTGGGGTTCATGGCACCCTATGGGATTTTAGGGATCGAAAGGAGGATACATGCAAGACAAGCACCTTATCAGCTGTACAGTCTCCCCTAAATCTAATTTTTTTTTGGCTTTTAGGACGATACCCAGTGATGCTCAGCGGTTACTCATGGCTGTGTACCCAGGAATTACTCCTGGCAATATATGAGGGACCACAGGGGATGCTGGGCAGGGCCTCCCACATGAAAGGAAAGCATCTTACCCACTACACAATCTTTCAGGCCCCCAACTCTACAGTTTTGTTGTTTAGGGACCACATCCTGCATTGCCCAGGGTCTACTCACACATCCTGCATTGCCCAGGGTCTACTCAGGGTTTGGGAAAGCTCCTAACAGTGGGAAAGCTCCTAACAGGGTTGTGTAATGATGCGGATTGAATGCAGATCTCTTGCATTAGCCTTTTTAACTGTATCCCCATCCCTGTCCCCATCCCTTTCCATGTATAGGTGTGTATAGAGGGTGGAGGGAGGGGGGATGGAACCCAGGATCTCAAATATGCCAAACATGTCTGTTTTGTGGTCATTCCTTTGTACTGCCACTGCCTGGCTCAGTTATCTGTTGCCTAGGCTACCAGAAGAGTTTCCTACTTACTCTCCTGGGATAGATCTCTGATGAGGTCAGCTGTAATCATGTAATTTCTCTGCTCAACCAACTCCTAGGAATCCATTTGCTTACCGTTCAAACATTTCCATGACTTAACCCCAATTCACCTTCCTCCTATTTTCCTTAATTTGTAAACGTGTATTCTTCCCACCTTCTAGAGACTGGCCTTTAAAAATGTTGTTCCTGAAAACTGTTCTTGTTTTTGCAGGTCCTTCTATTAATCAGGACTCTTGTCCCAGCAACCGGCTGCTTTCTCGGTGTATCCAGCTTTCCTTTCACTTCCAACTCACTGCCCTTGGAATTCTCTGCGCTCAGATATTCTCCTACCTTGGGTTCTCCTGAACATATAGCAGCCTGTTCTTCTGTTGGCTTGCTTAACTACCAAGGAAAAATGTGGTTCGAAAAGCAAATTGTGAGTGGTCAGAGCTAAATACCTTCTGCTGCCCTGAAACTCTCATTCCCTCTCTCAGGACACACCACCCCAATTCAGCTCTGCAGAGTGATCACTGACCTTAATACGGGCCCCCAAATCCCCGTATGTTCATCCTAGAGAAAAGAGACCCAGAGCCCTTTCTTTCTGTTTGTGTTTTTTGGCCACACCCAGCGTTTCTGGGGGCTCCTCGTGGCTCTCTGCTGGGCGTCATTCGGGGTATTTGGGGAACCATGCGGTGCTAGAGACCCAAGCGGGCATGTTAACATGCAGAGCATGTGCTCAAGGCCGTTGAGGACCTTCTTTGCTTGCTGAGGCCGGTTTCTTCTTTTGATTGAAGGCGATTGTTTATTTTAACCAGTCACCCATACTCACGGCCGCTCCAGTCTCCAGTGCCTTGCTGGCGGGGGATATGTGCCCTAAAGTTCCCGCTTTTAGAAAACGCGCTCTGCCTCCTCCCACTCCCTCCTCCGCCGGGACTTCTCAGCCCGGTCCAGGGTAAACACTTTATAAGGGGATCTATAAGAGCGAGGGAAAAAAAAAACAGGAAAGGGAAAAACAGCGTCCCAGGGTGGATGTGGAGATGGGCCAGGGGCTAGGGATCCCCGTACCTCTAGGAAACCCCCGGGGCACTCGCCCCTCGGCCCTCGATCGCGCGGGCGCGCGCGCGGGGGGGGGGGGGTGGTGCGTTTAATGACCTAAGCAACTTTCTGCGCCCCCCCCCCTCGCGCGTCCCGACTTGGTACGGCCTGTCCGGCGTTCGACGTTCCACCCCCTTCCGTTCCTCGCAGCTTGGTTCAGCCCCCGTCTACACCGGGGTGGTGCTTAGCCGGCGCCAGATCGACCCTCGACTTCGCTGGGGTAGTGCTGTGCCTCTGGGCTCTACCCGTCCAGCTGCTTCGACTTCTGCTACCGGTTCAGCGCCCCTCGCGTCCCCGGAGACCAACAACCTCGGTGTATGCCCCACCCCTGATCCCACTCGAGAGATGTCCACCCCGGCTCGGCGGCGCCTCATGCGGGACTTCAAGAGGTAAGGCAGCCGTCAGCAGGGTCGGGGTGTGTGTATGTGTCGGGGGACTGGGCTGGGGGGGCCGGCTTCTGGCCACAGGGCGGGTCCGGAGGCGGACCGGTAGTGGCGGAGTAGGGGGGAGCCGGGGTGGAGGGCCACCCGGAGCGGACGCGGGTATGGGATTGTGGGACCCTTGTCTGTTTCTTCAAAGGTTGCAGGAGGATCCTCCTGCCGGAGTCAGCGGGGCTCCGTCTGAGAATAACATAATGGTTTGGAACGCGGTCATTTTTGGGTGAGTCCGCGTTCTTAGAGACGCTCGGGGCTAGGGGATGGGAGTGGAGGGGGAGGGGGAGGGGGACACCCGGACACGCCAACGGTGCTTCGGGTCAGGCTCCCGGGTGAAGACTGAGGGGTACTAAGGGAAATATTTGGGTTTGACTCGGGCCTAGGTGCCTGCTGGGAGCCTGTGCCTCGATTAGTTCGGTTCCCGCTGCCAGGGGAACCGTTTGGGGATCTAGGGGGGCGGGGCGGGGAGTGGTGGCAGTTAGGGGCGGTGGCGGTGGCTCGAAAGATTTCGGTACCTGAAACCTTCAAGCCCGGGTGGTGCCTCCCGAGGAAACTCGGGCTTGAACCAGATCGGGAGGGAGTAAAGTGGAGCTGGGACTCAAAGATCATCCCCATAGAATCAGGAAGGGGGTGCCCCGGGAGCCCCTACTGTGGGAATTGATCGTTTGTTTTCTTGTTTTCCTTTTTACCCGCGCCCCGCGGTGTTCCAGGCCGGAGGGAACCCCATTTGAGGATGGTAAGAAAGTTTCCCTCTATACCTTTTAGGCACCTCAGGTAGGATAAGAGTTTTCAGTTATTCTAGCAGTGAACCCCGGTTGTCCTCAGAAACGACTAGACCTTTGTATGGGCTCCAGTCGGTGGCAGGCGCTTCAGGCTATGTGCTTCACTAGAAACGCGCCTTTTTTTTGCTTGCTTACTGAAAAAAATAAATAAATAACGTAGATGAGTCACTTTTTCAAAGGAACTGCTAGGCACTGATATTGGAGTTTGTGATCTGAGAAATTTACTCTCTTCATCAGTGCCCTTGTCCCACCCCCCGTGTGAGGAGAGCGTCTAAGCACTGGGGACTTGACCAAGCCAAATTTGAGGGTAGTGTCAGAGCAACTGCAGAGGCTTTCTGGCTTAGAATTGTACCCTCAAGAGCAAGAACTGAAATCAGGTTCTTGGGTTTGGTGTGGAAAGGACTGCCTTCTCCCTCCTTTAACTCTGTCAGTTGTCTGTGGCCCCTTCCATACCAGTTTGAGTAGAAGTTTTGGTTCTTATGTGCAAGTGGCTTCTCAGCATGTGCTCTCATCTAGCATTTGTGGTCAGCGATCTCAAAACAGTTTCAGAATTGAGGTTAGCCTTAATGTACACCCAACCAGTCTCCAGACTTGAAGGGACTAGGTGTATCTGTAGGTATGTGGCTTTAGATGGATTTGTTTTACTTTTTTCTTGTGTGTTGTTTTGATGGGGGAGAGTCATTCATTGCAGTGCCCAAATGACTATGTGATGGCAGGACTGAACCTGAACCTCCTATATACAAATCATGCATTCAGGCCCTTGAACTCTTTCCCCTAAGTTTTACTATTTTGAGGGTGGTTGGGGTCACACCTAGAAGTATGCTTGGAGGCCATTCATACTTGGGGGCCAAACAGTATTCAGGGACCATGCAGTACTGGGAAACAAAAGCACCTTAATCCCTGTACTATCCTCCTAGTCTTCCATGTTTTACTTTTAAAAACATATTTTATGGGACTGGACTGAGAATCACTGGGAGGGGGCCCATAGTTCTGACCTTCTCCTCCCAAAACATATAGACTAGGGAGATAGCCCAAAGGGCCAGGGATTAGATTTCTGGCACTGTGTGGTCTCCCATGAACTGAGAGTAGCCCCCAAAGCTACTGGGTGGGGCCTTAACTTTCCACAAAATAATAAAATCAGATATGTAGTTGACTTATGTTTATGTTGGGAGGGGGCACTCACAGAATTGCTCAGAGGTCACTTCTGCTGGTGCTTAGGGGACCATGCCTTGCTGGTGAGCCATAACCAGGACTCCCATATACAGAAAATGTGCTCAGTCCATTGCACTGGGCAAGACATGCAAGACAAGTGCCTTACCTGCTGTACTATCTTGCTGGTCCCTGTTGTCAGTTTCTATTCTGAGGTAATTATAGATTCACATGCTATTGCAATTAGTAATACAGAGATCAGGGAGCTAATATAGGGATGAAGGCATTTGCCTTATATGCAGCAGACCCCCAGCCCAATCCTGGGTACCATGTATGATCACTGAACACAGCTGGGTGTGGTCCCAAAATCACAAGTAAAAACAGTAATAGTACAGAGAGAACCTGTATGCTCTTAACCTCCCTTTCCCTCTCTCCTTTGATAACATGGCCTGTTACAGTATACCACGAGGAAATTGACATTTGTAGAGTTTTATGTGCACTCAATTTTGAGTGTGTGTGTAGTTGTGTTTCTCTGGACGTTTATAGCATTTAAAATGTGATTGAAAGTATTTGAACTACTCATTAGCATCTTTACTGTTTGAGGTACTTAAAACAAAAATATCTTGGTCACGTTTTTTCCCTTTGGATATGTAGTATTTTGTGTGTGCCTGAAACTGCCTGAAAGCGGGAATAGAAACAGAAACATTTGTGCAACTCCTAAGCACATACTTGGTTTGTCAAGTCAGATTGCTTTTGTTTTGTGCTTGTTTGTTTTTGTTTAGGGGCCACACCCCTCTGTGCTCAGGGCTTACTCCTGCCTCTGTGCTTAGGGATCACTCCCGGTGGGCTGGGGGACCATATTGGGGTACCAGGAATTGAACCCCGGTCAGCCTCTTGCAAGACAAGCACCTTACCATATTGTCTCTGGCCTCTCAGATTGCTTTTGATGTTTCCAAGATGTGGGGTAGGCTAGTATCAACCGATTCTATTGTTTGTCTCAAATACACAGATATTCCTAGGAGACTTGTGCTTTTTGGCTTTTGGGCCACACCCGGAAGTGCGGAGGGGTTTCTCCTGGCTATGCACTCAGGTATTACTCTGGTGCTCAGGGGGATGCCGGGGATCAAACCCAGGTCGGCTACATGCAAAGCAAGCACCTTACCCACTGTACTATTCTTCCAGCCCCAATGATTGTGCTGTTTGATTTTTTTATGTTATTGTTGTTTGGGGAAGAGCCACAATTGGCATTGCTCAGGGCTGGCTTTATGCTCAGGGATCACTTTGTGGTCCCTTTGGGGTGCCAAGGATCGAACTCAGATCAGCTGTGTACAAGGTAGGTGCCCCACCTGCTCTCCTATCACTCTGGCCTGTTCCTAAGAGACTGTTGACAGCTATACATCTGCCTTCACCACTGGGTAAGTATCCCAGTGGTTTAGTGCTATTACTGCAGAAGGAAAGATTCTAAAGGCACATGGGTTTGATGCAGTAAACCATTTGAACAGATTCTTGCAAGAGCTAGTCAGTCTTCCTTTTATTCTCCTAGAACGTAGTGGTAGACCTCCCATTCTAAGTGGTATGGGCAGATTGAAGCTGTGCATTTGCGTTAACTCGAGCAAGCTTTGTTTTCATTGGCCTTTTTCAAATCCCTCCTGATTTACGCTGACTGCTGTCTGCTGGACACAGCCTTATTAATAGTACATCGCTTTCTTGGGGGATGGCTACTTAAATATTTCAAGGGTGCATATCTTGTTTTAAGTGGGATATGTTGAGAAGATACTTACAGAATCCATTATCTACCTAGGCCTTCCAGCTGGACATTACTTGCTCTCTTTTGGATGACAGGGCTCACTATTCTGGCATTATTCAAAGGAACTACTCAGGCCAAATGATAGGACTGTTTGATTCATTCCACTGGGCAGTCCACTATCCAGGGATGGCTCTCTTGGGTTTCTAGAACACTGATCGTGCCAACAACAACAAAAAATAACTTTCTCTGACCTTTGGGAAAGCACTTCTTTGTGCAGGCAGGGAATATACTGGGCACGAGTGATGAGGGACAAGGGGCATCAATGATTTTATTCCAGCAATGTGTTTCAAAGCAACAGCTCCCAGACTACTTGTACTACTTCCTTGTAAACCATGTGTAGGGAAAGTGTTTGAACTCGCAAGATCTATAGCATATGAAAAAGAGAAAAAGCTTAAGAAAAAACCCTTCAAAGTATTTTGATTCTGCATGACCCACTTGAAGAGAGATATGTTTGTAATCCCAGCCATGGTTTGTAATCCCAGCCAGTCAGTGGGAAGGGCCAGTTGCCCCTTACCCTGATATCTGGATGTGCGTGCTGACTAGAAATGCTGCAGTAGAAAGTAGTCTTCATCACATCAGCTAAAAACTTTTACAGGGGCCAAAGTAATAGTACAGTAGGTAAAGCATTTATCTGGGTTTGATCCCCAGCACCCCATATGGTCCCCAAGTTTTGCCAGGAGTGATTCCTGAGTGCAGATCTGGGAGTAGGTCCTGAGCACTGCTGAGTATGGCCCCAAAGCCAATAAACAAATATAAAAATTGTTAACACACCCCATCCGATGCTAGTATTTGGGGCTGGAGTGATAGTACAGCCAGTAAGGCACTTGCCTTGCATGAGGCTGACCTGAGTTTGATCCCCAGCATCCTATATGGTCCCCTGAGCACTGCCAGGAATAATTCCTGAGTGCAAAGCCTGGAGTAACCCCTGAGCATCACAGGCTGTGCCCCCCCAATGTACTAGTATTTGCTTTTTATAATCAGTGTGTTCTTAAGAATTTGGGGAATAGTTACAAAGAAATGGGTTGCAATTAATGAAGACTGTCAATACTTACGTCAATACTAAGATACAGAGCCAGGCAGACATTATCTTAAATATCAGATTTTTCCAGTCAGCAGACAAACTTGGAAGGGCTTGGGACCAAGAGCTGGGACAGTGGTTAAGCCAAGGGGGTGTCAAGAGCCCCTCCAGGAAGTGACCCCTGAGCACAAAGCCAGGAGGAACCCTAAACCCCACTGAGTGTGGCCATACCCCAAATCTGTAAGAGTTTATGCTGTTTTATCCTATGGGGTCCACAAACTGGTGGCCCACCAGCAAGAAATGCTTGAGGAGGTGGAGGAGGATATGTTCCCAACTTCTTTTCAAATACCTGGATTTTGTGGCTTGAATGAGTAGGGCCTACACCCTCTCACATAGGTCCTTGTTGCCATCTCTCAGCCACTAGATGTATGCACATAATTGTCCTGCCCTCTGCATATAGATAGATCCACTGATCTGTTCCTTACAGTGATTTGTCTCAGAAAAGATGGATAAAATAGGCACCCACAAAAGTTAGGCTTTGGATTTCAGTGATCTTAAAGCAAGAAAGGGGGAATGCCTGGCCTGTGGGCCACGTATGGCCTGAGAAATCCTGTGGAGACAGATTCCTCTGGTTACTTGCCTGCAGCCTGTCTGCCTATATTGTCAGGCCCCTGGATGATGTGATTAAGATCCAGATAGGCCTTGGCAGAAGCAAGCTTCCTTACCCCTGCTTTAAAACCTAGCCTTCTCTGATTAGTCACAGGAAAAACAGTAGTCTTCATGCTGGCATATACTAGGATTTTCAGTTTTCTTAACATTTGTTTTGAATCTCAGAAATTGCATAGAGGGCTGGCTGCTACGGAGGCGGTCATTGTTGGATGTGGCTCAAAATGTGAGATAGTCCCGTTCCCCCACCTTTGAACGTGCATTTCAGGGAAGGTTTGGGCCCTAGTCTCTATGCAGACATCCAGAAGCAGATGGATTTAGTTCTTCGGTAAAGTCAATGCTGTTTGATGAGACTTGATCAACTTCCTTTTTTTTGGTCATTTTTTTGTGTATGTGTGGGGTGCATACCCAGCAATGCTCAGGAATTACTCCCGGCAGTGCTCAGAGAACCATATGGAATGCTGGGGATAAAACCCAGGTCAGCCATGTGCAAGACAAATGCCCTATCCACTGTACAATTGCTCCAGCCCCATGGTATAACTGCTTTTGGCAGTTCAGTAAACACACGTTGAATTTTTGGGCAATTGCTTTTTAGAGTTTGGGGCTCCGCAACCCATATGTCATCAACCTACATTGTGCCCGAGTTTTGCAGCAGGTCAGAAAGAGAATCCCAGTTCATATTTGATTTTTTTGTTTGTTTGTTTGTTTGGACTTTGAGGACACACCCAAGCAGTACTTAGGGACTATTCATGACTGTGCTCAGCAATGACCACCAGGAGTGATCCATGTGGCTGATCGATGCAGGCTCAGTGACATATAAGGCAAATGCCTTACCCTCTGCACTGTTTCTCTGGTCCCTATTTAATATTTGAGATCAGTAACTTCTCTCTCTCCCTCCCTCTCTCTCAGAGTCTCTGCTCTCTCTGGAGTCTCTGCCCTTCTCTGAGTCTCTTTCAGAGTCTCTCTCTCCCTCTCCCTCTCTCTCTGTTTGGTTATGCCCTTTGTGGTATTCAGGGCTATTCTTGGCACTGTGCTCAGGAGTGATCCCTGGTGGTGCTTGGTGCACCCTACATGGCATCAGGGATTTGAACCAGAATTGGTCATACATAAAGCAAGTCCCTTAACACCCCTGCCCCATATTATCTCTCTGACCGGGTCTATTTCTTACTAAGAATGAAATTTGGAGTGTGTGAATGTTAGGGAGAGGGGTGGTGATGGATTTCTTCAGCTTGGCCTGCACAAAGAATGCTTGAATTTTTAGAGCTCAAATCATGTCTCCAGTTCATAGAGCATTTGGGTTTGCCTTGTGTATGTGTCTTCACCACAGACAGGTAGTTTTAGTGATGATTTTCATTTAAACTGCATGGGATCTGGGCCAGAATGATAGTACAGTGGAAAGGGTGCTTGCCTTGCTCACAGCCAACCCAGCTTTGATCCCCAGCACCCCGTATAGTCCCTCGAGCCCCACTAGGAATGATTACTGAGCACAGAGCCAGGAGTAAACCCAGAACACTGCTGGGTGTGCCCCCCCCCCCAAAAAAAACCCCAGATATAAATAAAGTGCATGGGATTGCTGTGTGCCATTCTATCTGCTGGACCCTCTGCAATGCCAGGGATCCCCTTACTCACTCTTTGATCTTTACAGCTCCTAGAGCAATTCTTTGATAGTATGTCTCTTACCTGAATTTGGTCAGATACCAGCCTTGCCCCTAAAGTGTTTGTTTACACTTGAGTCATATAAGGAATTTCAGAGGTTTGTATTTTTGTTGTTTGGGTGCCATACCTGCAGGTGCTCAAGGGACTTTGCAGCACTGGAGAAACGTGCACTCCAGCCTTTCAGCCACCTCACACCTGTGTCAGTGCCTACTCCTGGCTCTGTACTCAGGGATCACTCCTGGCAGGGTTTGGGGAACCCTTTGTGGTGCTGGGGAGCAAACCTAGGTCAGCTGCACGTAAGGAAAGCTCCTTCCCCACTGTATCATCTCTCTGGCTGGACCCAGAAGTTCAAAGCTTTGAACAGTCATTCATCCCACTGTTGATTTTTTTAAAATAATATCCCCCATTCCCACTTTTTTGTGTTTAGTATCTTTCAAGCAGTAGCAAGAAGAAAGAACTATGTTTTATTGGGTTTTGTTTTGGGGCCACACTCAGTAATACTCAGGGATTACTTCCCACCCTGAACCCATGAGTTACTCCTGGCAGTGCTCGGGACCATGTGGGATGCTGGATATCGAACCTGTACTGACTGTGTGCAAGGCAAACACCTTACCCACTGTACTCTTGCTCCAGTCCCTGTTTTCTGCTTTAACAAAAGGAGGAAGAATTGTGACCAGGTGCTGGATAAGAAAGTTTCTTTTGATAGACCTTGCCATGATGTCTTTTCCAAAATAGTTTTTTTCCCCTTTGGGTGTTGGTTATGCTGCATATGATCTTCGGGTCTGACTTTCAAATAATTCAAGTGTGTCTCAGTGGACATCAGAGCAGTGCTCAGGAGTCCCTTAGAGGGTCCCTCTGCTGATTCTCAGCCAAACCAGCAGACAGTTCAATGCCAGGACCTGAGGATGAGGTGCCAGGCCTCCCTAGTGGTATTCTGGGGTCTCCTGCACTGCTCATATTGCTCTTGCCAATGTTCGGGGGCCCAGGTGGTGCTGGGAGTGGTTCCTGGCTCAGAGACATGCCTCGCATGCACCCTAATGGCTATGCTGACTCCCGGCTCCTGAGTTGAACCTTGGAGCCGCAGGTGTTGTACCAAGGGCAACTTCGGAAATGTGTTCTCAAGCGCTTGCTAGTCAGGAGATGGTGCTATTATCTGAGAGGAAGGGAACGGTCACAGTGTTCCCTTTTTCTTTTCAAAAGTGGAGAGAGGCCTATTAATGGATGCCAGGAGGAATAATGACTAACTCTGAACAGAAGAGTAACGAGTTCTCCTTGACCTGAAGTGTGGTCTCTTTTCTTAGAATAAGTAATTTATTAAATGGTGCATGGTACTACAGTGCGTTGTGCAGCCTCTTAGGCCAGGAAGTAACTATTTCCAGAGGCTCACTAGAGGAACTTTCAGTCAGTTGAAACTGCCCAAACAGCTGCCCAATTGTTCCTGTGAAGTTATTCCCCTGAGTTTAAAATGACATTTCAAAGGCATCCTAATCTCCCCAAGTCATAGCATCTTAGAATTCCTTTTTTTTCTCCTCAATTTTGGGCCACTCCTGGCAGTAGTCAGGGCTTACTCCTGGCTCTGTGCTTAGGCACCACACCTGGTAGGACTCTGCGGACCCTCTTATGCCAGGGATTGAAGTCTGCACAGCATGCACCCTCCCCACTCTTCTATCTCTCGGGCCCCATCCTACAATTCTTTGTATGAGCTCCTTTGCCCATGTTCATTTTAGAGTGTGCGCTTCTTTAGTCTCTTCCTGCTACCTTAGTTCACGAAGAAGGAATGTATTTCAATAGTAGCCTAAATAAACATCATTAGATAAATTGGCGGGCTCCGTGAATGCAATCTAATGTGATTTTTAAATCCTTTCTGTCCTAAATTCCCTCCATTAGTGTGAATAATTGAGTTGATTTTACAGCGAAGTACCCTGTGACTCATACTTACGGGTTTTGAGAGGGACTGAAGTTTATTTTTTTTATCTGGCAAGCATTCAATTATGGTTTCATTATAGGGGCACTCTTACATGAAAAGAACACTGCAGTACTCGTTCCTTTCAATTTTCACAATGATATGATAATTGACTTGGATAGCTAGTGTCAGTGGATTGATTTTTTTTTTTACTGTGGCCAGGGTGGGGGGCGGATGGCCAGTCCTAGCAGTCCTCAGCAGTTGCTCCTGGCAGTGCTTGGAGGGAGCATCAGACAGTGGGGATGGAACCAGGACCTCCCACATGCAAAGCATGTGTGAAGCTCCTTGTGTGCTCTCTCCAGCTTGAATAGTGTTAATTTTGGTTTTTGTGTTTGTGTGGGGGGCCACACCCACCGATGATCAGAGGCTGCTCCTGACTTTGCATTAAATTATTCCTGGCGGGGCTCAGGGTATCATAAAGGATGCAGGGGATCGAACCTGGTTCCACCTCATGCAAGGCAAGTGCACGATCTACTGTATTATCACTTCGACCCCCTGTAGTGTTGATTTTTGAACCTCAATGAGGTCTCTTTCTTTATGGTCCTCTGAGGAAAAAAATCACTGGAGGGACCTGAGGGCTGGAGCACATGGTTAGCATGCAGAAGTCCAGAGTTTATTCCCCAGTAGTGCAGTCCTCCTTAGCACTGCTGGAGCAACCTCAAGCACAGAGCCTGGGATTATCCTCCCCCACCAGGGCTCCAGGTGTGGTCCTCATATCCCCCAAAACAAGAAATTGATTTAAGAAAATCAAAATCACTGAAGCCAGGCCAAAGAGATAGTACAGCAGGAAGGGCACTTGCCTTGCATGTGGCCAACCCAGGTTCAATCCTCAGCATTCCATCAGTTTCTCCAAGAACCTCCAGGAGTGATCCCTGAACACAGACCCAGGAGTAAGGCCTGAGCACTGCCAGAGAAGGCCCAAAGTAAAAATCACTGGAGAGGTTAAGGTGGCCACGGCTTGGAACAAACTTTGAAGATCTCCCATTCTCCATGAGAGAAAAAGGCCACATTTGGGCCCTTATTTCTTGTCCTTTTGAGCTTTAAGATGTCTGTGTTTAAGATGATTGGGTTTCCATTTAGGAGAGACGAGTAGCAAAAGAAAAACCAGTTCCTCTTTGGGTGGTGGTTCCGATGGTATCTGTCCATGGTCAGAGCAGGCCCTGGGAGAAAAATCTCTTGCCTGGTCTTTCTCGCCATTGAATACTCACACCAAGTCATACCAGGTGAAAAACAAAGTGCTTGGGAATAAAGAGTTGAATGTGTTTTCTTAACCCTTTCTTTTTTAACCACAGGCACATTTAAACTGACTATCGAGTTCACTGAGGAATATCCGAATAAGCCACCTACTGTTAGATTTGTCTCTAAGATGTTCCATCCAAATGGTAAGTATCACGTTGATAGCCATCATGGGCTCCACTGTTTGCTGGGGAGATGGCATCCACATTGCCTGCTTACTTGTGTGTAGCATTTGAGTGTTTTGTTTAAGGCAGTTCGCTCTTTGCTGAAAACCACACTTGTTCCTGATGAGCTGCAGCCGGGAGCAGACTTTGCCTTTGCTTGGGAGGCTTCAGAGCTGTCTGGCTTTGGTGATCATCCTCATTGCCTACAGTAAATGCAACCAAGGAGCCACATATGGGGGTTTCCTTTTAAGGTTGGGTCAGATTGGGGTCATCCAGTGATTATTTTCTCTCACTTTTTTGAGGGATGGGGATGGGTTTGGGCCACACCTGGCAATGCTCATCGGTTATTCGTGGCTCTACACTCAGGAATTATACCTGGCAGTGCTTTGGGGACATATGGGATGCTGGGGATCAAACCCAGGTTGGCTGCACGCAAAGCAAACACTCTACCCACTGTACTATCACTCTGGTCCCTCTCACTTTTCGAGCAAGGGTTTTCAACTTTGGATATTAGAATTCCTATGGAACTTGGTATGGTTGGTATGGTTGGCAACACCCCTGGTTAGTGCTCAGGGGTCACTCCTTGAAAGGGCTCCAGGGATTATGTGGTACAGGAGATCAAGTCCTCTCACCTCCAGAGTATGAACTTCAGCTCTTTGAGCTAGCTCTCCAGCCCTGTGGAATGTTTTAAGTATTTGGATGCTCTTGGGCCAGAGTTGTTATACAGTGAGTAGTGTGGTCTCCGTGCACGTGGCTGACTTGGGTTTAATCCCTGGCACCACACATGGTCGTGCACTGCTTGGGTGTGGCCCAAAAGAGACAAAATAGAAAATTCAGAGCTCTGGCCAAGGGCTGGGATGTAGCTCAGTAGTAAGCACTTGCCTTGCATATGTGAAACCCTACAAAACTGAAAAAAATTCTGGCCCTGCAAAGACAAACAAAAAGAAACCACAAAATTGGAATGAGATGATGACCTGAACCCCCAGTTTTGGCCCTAGCAAGTGCAGTGCTTACTGTCCAGATGCTTGTTGTTGGGGCAGGAGAGATAGTACAGAAGGCTGGTACACAGGCACTTGCCTTGCCTCTGGCCACTTCAGCAACCCACCTTGGTTCAAGTGTTGGGCACTGCATATGTAGAACTAGAAGTAGCCCCTGGATACCAGCAGATAGAGTCTAAAATCACCTCCCACCAAAAAAGGACTTAGAACGAAAATAGAGGGTCCAGAGAAATAAAACAGCAGGTGAGTTGCTTGTCTGGCATGTGGCTGATGTGGGCTTAATTCCTGCCACCCCATATGGTCCCTCTAAGCCCACCAGGAGTATCCTTGAGCGCAGAGCCAGGAGTAAGTCCTGAGTACAGCTGGGTGGAGCTGTACTCAGGGCTTAGAAAATAGATGTTAAAATACTTTGGGTGATTTTTTTTCTTTCTAGTAGCAGTTCTAGACTTGATCGCCTCTTGCTTAGGTTAATAAGAATATTTTCGAGAGTGGAGAGATAATACAGCAGGCAGGGCATATGCCTTATACACAGCCAACCAGGGTTCAATCTCTGGCACCACAGAAAATCCTCCAAGCCCTGCCAGGAGTGATCCCTGAGCACTGCCAAGTATCCCCCCCCCCCCCGAAAAAAAAGCCCTGTTATTTTCCAGGGTGTTAGAGTTTTTTCTTTACACCAAAATATAAGCTCCTTCAGAGCTCTATTGTTTATAACAGGAGATAAGAGTTTACACATGCGATGGACTGCGTTTCCCACAAGTGTCTGATTGGTGTGGTACCCCGATTGGAAGTGTGCATACTTTCCTAAGTCATAAGACTGTCTTATGAGCAGAATGTGCATGAGTTTCTTCCAGCATTATTCGATTGCAATTGACATTCTCTGTGCATCCTGATTTCTTTAAATAGTAATTACTGCTGACTTCTAGGTTGAATAAGTTAACTTAGAAGTTACCGCATCCTTTTGGTTTGGTTTGTTTTTGAGGGGTGGTTTGGGGGTTACATCTAGTGGTTCTCAGGGTTTACTCCTGGCTCTGTGCTTAGGAATTACTCTCTGGTGAGGCTCAGGGAATTCTATGGGGTGTTGGAGAACTGAACCCGGGTCAAAAACATTGCAAGGCAAGCGCCTTCCCCGCTGTCCTCTATCTGGCCCATCAGTATTTTTTGAAATCTAAGACACCTTGTGTTCCACTTCACTGTAACTTGCCTCTAATGTGAAAACTGTTGGTTTGCTGTGTTTAACATCCCCACTTCTCTGCTCTCAGTCTATGCTGATGGCAGTATATGTCTGGACATACTGCAGAACCGCTGGAGCCCAACTTATGATGTATCATCCATTTTGACATCCATACAGGTGAGTTTTGCTAATGTGACTATGGCCTTTGATATGTTATTTATCGGAGCAGGATGCTTTTTGTTAGTTGTGGAGGCCACCTTTGTGTCATACTTGGGGAGCTGGGGAGCAAACCCAGGACCTCACAAATGGAAGGCATTTGCCCCACCATTTCAGCCATCTCCCCTGCCCCATATATTGTGTTTAAAAGTGTGCTGCCTGTCAAAAATATGCTCTGCAGTATTTTAAAGATTTGACCCCAAAATATAACATTAATATACTAAATTTCATGTTGAAATAGTCGTCTCTTATATTGTGTTAAATATATTCAAGAGTTTAAAACTTCATCAATCCATTTGCATATATGCTAATAAATGCAGTGTTTCCCAATGTGTGTGATATCACACACAGCCCATAAAGGCATGGGCACAATTGGGGGGGCTTTTTGTTTGCTTGAAGAAGGTAGATTTCCCTGAGTGGTTGCTGAATAATGCTTTTTTTTTTTCTGAAAAGGGGACCATAAACCAAATACATTTGGGGACCTCTATACTATTAGGCTAATGCATCTTTAGGTTACTGTGCTAACTCAGCAAATTTAGCTATTAACTTAGGACAATTCACTTGAGGGTCACTACTTTATAAAATTGCTATTTGTTTTAATACCAAATGATCTCACTCATCTGGAGACTAGAGAGGGACAAAAGGAGGAAATAGCATTATTGAACAGTGATAAGCTCTTGACCTTGGATTACAAAACTCAGATTACCACACAGTGTTGGGGGGGGGCAAGGTAGGAATAAAGAAGTGAATGAGAGGTGATTTAGGGATAGCAAGGGAAAGGGGAATCTTGAGAACTTTTGGAATGGTGGTGATGGGGGTACAGTAACGTAACGTGTACATTATTGCCATAAACATGGACAATATCAGTACCATGTTACCTGGATCAATTATTTTTTTATAAAATATGATCACAGGAAAAAAAAAGCAAACCATATTTGTCTGACTTTTTCAAAGTTCTTAAAACTCCAGTAACTGAACAGATACCATTGAAAACATTTGACTAAAGTATAATTGAGAAGCAAAAAATGTATAAAAAGGTAAAACAAAATATTAAAATAGGTTTAACTAGCAACAATAGCTTAGTAAACCCTCAGACAAGGACTTAATGACTGCATGGTAAGATACAACAATTTTTTTTGATGATTCCATTAGCCATTTAGTAGTAACAAGGAATAGAAAATAAATTATTGTGGGCATACCACAGGGGCAGGAGTGAGGGATGGTTGGGAAAATGGAGACAGTGGTAGAGGGAAGGTGACAGTGTTGGTGGGATTGGTGTTGGAATACTGAATGCTTGTAACACATCATGATGAACAACTTTATAAACTGCAGTGTAAGAGTGGGAAAAATTAAAAAGTAAAATAGGTTTGTTTTGAACATGTATTTGTGTTTTTTTTTTCATTGAGGACCTAACTTTTAAAATACTGTCTCTCTAGTCTCTTTTGGATGAACCGAATCCTAATAGTCCAGCAAACAGCCAGGCTGCCCAGCTGTACCAGGAGAACAAGCGGGAATACGAAAAGCGTGTTTCTGCAATTGTAGAACAGAGCTGGCGTGACTGTTGACCTGAGTGGCACGCAAGAAGAGGCTCGTTATAAGAAAAATACCTGTTGATATATTTGCCATCTTCCTGTTCCTTGGTGTCATTATATTTACTTTATTAAAAAGCAAAATAGCTGATGTGCTGTTTCAGTGTTCCCTTGCTAAGGTTTTCCAACCCCTCTATACTCTCCTGGAACATCCAAAAACACCCTGTTTTGAATCAAATGTGCTGTACCTGGGTTATGTGCAAAACAATAATGACTGATGCTTAATTCTGAGTCTGTTGTACCTCATCTCCAGTTGGGGGCAGTAGGGTGTTTCTGTACTTGACAATAAGTTTTGAAAATGGGTTGTCATATAAGGAGGTGCTTTAGACAAAGCTAGATGACAAAGATCTTACTTGTAACAACATAATGACTGCTGTGTTTTATCCTGGCTGATCCTTTGCTCGTGTTGGATTCAAAGGGATTCCACTTTACTAGGTATATGGCCAACAGGAATCCATGAAACAGGCCCTTATAAACATCCTCTTTGAAAGGACAGTGGAAGCTCAAAATACTGGGATCAAAAGAATAACCAATCAGAACTACAAGGCATTTTTCTTCACTGGTAGGAGACTATGAAAGAACTCAGCCCAAGTACAGTACCATAGTTGTAGTAACTGATACATCCTCTCCTTCCCAGATAGTTACTGAATACATACACACACTCCCAAGCTAAGTTTCAGAATGGGACATATCTTGGAGGGTTTTTTTCCCTTCAAAGAGTTGTGGAAACAGAGGAATGAAAAAGAAGTACTTTCTAAGCTAGGGGAAGTTGGAGAGCCTTGCAACTTTTTAAAGGAACAGTGCTACCCTGAATCACCAACTTTATGACCCCCATCTATTTTTCAGACGTTGAATTCAAGGAAGGGAAGCTCTCTGTGGCAAACTTTTCCCACTCACAACCTGAATTCACACTGCATGCTTACGTTTCTTCGCGTTCCGTAGAGTAAAGCCCTCACTGTTTAGCTATCTTTGTTTGAGTATTTATCCTTTTTGCTAAAATCAGTAACTTTAAGTAGCAGTGTGGGACAAGGCTTGTAAATGTTCTATCTGATGTTCCTTTGTTATCTTTTCAGCACCTACCACTCTTCTAAATCGAAGTTTGCACAAGTAACCCATGTAAAAAAATGTACATTTTTCAAAAGTTGTAAATAAAAATAACCTTAAAATTTTGTAGTCAGTATAATTACATTTTAGCTGAATGTGACCTTGAAGTATTGGGCTCTCACTTCTATACATACTGCTCCCTCCAAAAAAAATTAAAAATCAACATTGCAAAGCAAAAGTACATATTTGGGGAGACGCGAAAGAGTAAATGATTTTTTTTCCTTTCAGGTCATGTTAGTTTGGGGTTTGGATTCTGGGGCCATATTCAGTGGTGTTCAGGGGACCATACAAAATGCCAGGGATCAAACCAGGGTCAGCTGTGTGCAAGGCAAGTACAATAACTTGTATACTATCTCTTTCGCAATATATTGATTTTTTTTAAATTGTAGGGGCTGAAATGACAGTACAGCTGGTGGGACAGTTTCCTTACACATGGCCAACCTGGGTTCGATCCTCAGCAGCCCATAAGGTTATCCGAGTCCCACTAGGAGTGATCCCTGAGTACATAGCCAGGAGCATCTACAGGTGTGCCCCCCAAACAAAAAACATTGCAGTAGCTAAAACTATATTAAAACAAAGTTACTTAATGGATTAATCAAGGCAATGTAATATTAGATAATAGGGACAATAAACAAGTCTGGGCATTGGTAGTTCCTCTGACCAATACCTAATGCAGAAGTTTGCTAACTTACTTGACCTACCTCCCCATTTTCAGGAAAAAAAAACCCAATGCCTCCATGAAAATCTGCCTTTTTGCAAAACAAAATCAGCACCCTGGACCCACACCCAAGGCTCCTCCTGTGCCCCCACCCCTCCCCACCCCACACCTGCATTGATCCAGTGCTTGGAGGGGAGGAGAAAGGGACAAATATTGCCCATTTGGGTTTTTTGTTTGTGTTGGGGCCACACCTGATGATGCTCAATGCTTACTTCTGACTCTGTGCTCAGTGATCACTCCTGGTGTGGCTCAGGGGACCATCATGGAGTACCAGGGATCAGGGATTGAACCCGGGTCAACCATGTGCAAGACAGGTGCCCTACCTGGTGTACTGTCTCTCCAGCCCCTATTGCCCACTTTCGGAACAGTAACAAACTTACTAAATGATACTTTTAAAAAAATTTTTGCATTTAAAATGCTGTGATTTACAACGTGATAGGGTTTTCTGCATACAGTGTTCCAATACCCTACCTCCCACCAGGGTGTCCCCTACTCAACAAACCTCCTCACCCCCTTAAAGATATTTTGCTTGTTGTGGAACTACACCTGGAAATGCTCAGAGGTCACTCCCAGCTCTGTCCTCAGTAATCACGCCTATTGGTGCTTGGCGGGGGGAGGGGTCATATGGGATGCCAGGGACCAAATCCGGGTCAGCTGCATGCAAAGCAAGTATCTAACACACAGTACCATCTCTCAGGCCCCTTAAATGGTATTTTGAAAAGTCTCTAATTTTATTAAAGAACAGTGATCTATAAGGTTTTTGATAGTTGAGATTTAGACATACTGTTCAAGCACCAAGCCTGCCACCAGTGTCAACTTCCCTCCACCAGTGTTCCCAAGTTCCTTCCCACCCCCCACAGCCTGCCACCTTGACAGACACATTTTAAAGTTTGGTCGTTGTAGTTTGGATCTATTTTCAGTGTTGTTGACTCTGAGGTACCTTAATTTTTTTTTTGATTTTGGGTACTCAGGGTTTACTTCTGGCTCTGCACTCAGGAATCACTCCTGGTGGGGCTCAGGGGACCATATAGGATACCAGGGATCAAACCCTGGTCAGCTATGTGCAAGGCAAGCACCCTACCCACTGCACTACCTCTCAAGCCCCTGCACTATGTTTTGGATATGTAGCTATACCCAGGTAAGTTCCAAGTACAAAGTAGGAGTCCAGGTGTCCTTAGTGTTCTTTGTGGGGGCATGCCCAGAAGTGCTAGCAAACCATGAGGTGCTGAGGATGAACTAGCTATGGGGAGATTCGGTACTTCTGCTCTCCAACCCTTTGATTCCTCTCCTCGGTCTTCCTCAATCTTATTACAACAAACCAGGTTTTTCTGGGGCGCAGGGCCTCAAGGCATGCTTAGTAAGCTTAGGGGCCACTTCCAGTGATACTCAGCCAACCTGATGGGGGTTCAGTGCTAAAGCCCAAAGTCCCTTAACTCTTAAATTATGGACTTAAGGACCCCTCAGAGTGATTCATTCTATACTGGATACACATGAATTTGTTTAGAAGCAAAATCACAAAATGGGCTTAAGTTAATTTCTGCATCAAACTTGAAATCCATGGGGCAGGAGCAATAGTACAACAGGTAGCGCATTTACGTGCATTGCATTCAGCTGACCCAAGTTCGATCCCCAACACTCTATATGCCCCCCCAAGCACTGCCAGGAATAATTCCTGAGCACACTGCCAGGAGTAAGCCCTGAGCATCACTAGATGTGACGAACACCCCCCCCCCCAAATTTTGAACACTATTTAATCTATTTTCTTTGGTTTGGGGCACAGACTGTGTTATTGGGGGTGGGAAATCTTGCCCAGTGTGGCTTAAGGATGACATAATTCCGTGTTCCTGGGTCTTCAGCATGCCAGCATGAGGCTGCAGACCATTGTACTATTTCCATGGCCTCTCAATTTGTCTTTTGGTTGTAGATGTTTTGCTTATTTTTTTCACTTACTCTGGCTAGGGGGCTGGAACAATAGCACAGCGGGTGGGGCGGTTGCCTTGCACTCAGCCAACCTGGGTTCGATTCCTCCGTCCCTCTTGGAGATCCCGGCAAGCTACCAAGAATATCCCACCAGCACAGCAGAGCCTGGCAAGCTACCCATGGCATATTTGATATGTCAAAAACAGTAACAAGTCTCACAATGTAGACATTACTGGTGTCCGCTCAAGCAAATCAATGAATGGGAGGACAGTGCTACATTGCTCCTCTGGCTAGGTATTATCTTTATCAGGGGCAGAAGTGGGAGGACACACAGCCAGTGCAGCTTAGGAGACAATATGTGGTGCAAAGAATCTAATTGGGATTAGCAGTAGGCAGGGGAAGTGCCTGAATTAACCCTTGTGCACTATGCCTCTGGCACCATGGAAATGGGAAATATTTCTTTTTGGGTCACAGCCAGTGGTTCTCAGGGACTATTTCTGGCTCTGTGTTTGTGCGTATGGTGTCAGGATTCGAACCTGGGTGAGGCGCATGCAAGTGCTCTACTCACTGTATTATTTCTCCAGCCCATGGCTGGAAATCTTAAATCTCAATATCGAATCATACTTGAGTAGAAATGTGCAGATTTAATAGATTTTTTCTCTTGCATACTTACTGAGAACCATTCCTCAATATCTTTCATCAAGTAATCCTTTATTATTTTTATGGGGAGGAGGGTTTGGGGTTAACCAGTGCACCAGCGGCACTGGTTTTCTGCTCAGGAGTGACCCCTGGTGATCTCAGGGGACCATAAAAGATACCAGGGATTTGAACCAGCCTTACTGCTCTTGTGGCTGCATGAAAGGCAAGTCCCTTGCCTGCATTCTCCCTTTGGCCTCAAAAATTCTTTTATTTTCTGAAATAAAATAGCTTTTATTTATTTTGGGGCTTGGGGGTTACTCTTGGCTCTGTACTCATGAGTCACCGCTGCCAGTGCTCAGGAGATCATATGTGGTGCTGGAGATCAAAACCAGGTAATCTGCATGCAAAACAACCAAGTGCCTTTCCAACTGTATTATCTCTCTGGCCACCAAATAGTTTTATTTTAAAGATTTTACTTAAAGATACGTGAGGGGAGAGAGAGACACGTTCAAATGGGAACATGGTCTTCTCCAAAGTGCATTCCTTTTAAAAAACTCACAACATGGGGGTAAAGAGATTAAAATAGAGCAAGGAAGGTGCTTGTCTTGCACACATCCAATCCAGGCTTGATCTTCAGAACTGTATATGATCCTCCAAGTCTCACCAGGAGTGATCCCTGAGTACAGAGCCAGGAGTAAGTCCTAAGCATTGCTGAGTGTGGCCCCAAACCAAACAAACAGATTCACAGCAAGCTGGGGTTCTAAAGCATCATATTTCATGGTCCAAGGGACCACAAAACATTCAACTGAATGTCTGAATCAAATTTTCCCATTTTTCTTTATGATATTTGAAATGCCACAGACTGCCTGCATATAATAATGATGACAGTGGTGATTGGATTAACACAGATTTGAACTTGTCTTCAGTTTTGCACCTGCTGATATGGGAAAGGGAGAATCATGAAGAGCCTCATCACAAAGTTGTAATTAAAGTCCTTTATTTAGGCACCGTCTCCAGCTTCAGGGGTTACTCATAGCAAAGTGAATGCATTGTATACCACTAAAAAAAGAATCCTGGGCGATGGCATGGTATTTTCATTCAATTTTGCAATCAAAGGGCAGGGGGAAAAAATTATGTCAAACTTTCAAGTAAAACTTAAAAGTGCTCATGCAGGTCTTCTATAGCAAAGTGGTAAGGTAAAAGCCCTCCCGTTGATCGTCGATTTGCTCGAGCGGGCCCAGTAACGTCTCCATTGGAGACTTTGTTGTTACTGTGTCTGGCATATGGAATACTCTCGGTAGCTTGCCGGGCTCTCCGAGAGGGGCGGAGGAATCGAACTCGGGTCGGCCATGCTCGCTGCTGTGTTATCGCTCCAGCCCTGAGTTCAAAATGACATTAGGGCCAGGGGCTGGAGCACAGCGGGTAGGGCGTTTGCCTTGCACGCAGCCGACCCGGTTTCGATTCCCAGCATCCCATATGGTTCCCTGAGCATAGCCATAGGTAATTCCTGAGTGTAGAGCCAGGAGTAGCCCCTGTGCATTGCCGGGTGTGACCCAAAAAGGAAGAAAAAAAAAGAAAGAAAAAAATGACATTAGGGCCAGAGAGATAGAACAGTGGGTACTTACCTTGCATGTGGCCAGCCAGGGCTTCAATTCCTGGCACCACATAGGGTGGGTCACCTGAGCACAGTCAGGAGAGATCCCTGAGCACAAAAGCAGGAGGAAGTCCTGAGTACAGTTGGGTTTGGCCAAAACTCCAGGACAAAACAAAAACTGCTATTGCAAAGAGAAAATAACGAACTTGACCAAAAAATGGGGAAGAGATAGAAGCACATAGTGAAAGCAGCTCATTCTTGCCAAACTTTATTGGGGGAGGGGTTCCAGGTGATGATCAGGAGGCTCAGGAACCCCACTGTTGATTCTCCACCAACCAGATCCAGGATTTGGGGCAAGGGCCCAAGGATGTGATGCTGTTAAGAGTTCTACAGTGCAGGGGATATCCCAGTCACCCCAGTGATTTTTGAGAGCATCTAGGGCTGCATCTGCTGATGCCTGGGGGACCATATGGTGCTGGAAATTGTACCTGGGTTGGGCGGATGTGCCCTAACCATTGTACTATGTTCTGTCACCCAGCCCCATTGTCAAATCCTTTTCACATTTTTTATTCCCAAGCAGTTAAAATCCCACATCGATAGAAAATGTTAGGAAATCTGCACCTTTAAATTCAGAATTTAAATTTGTATATCCTTGTTCTATTTGGAGTGATCTTAACTATGTTACTATTCTATTCTGCAGAGGCTGGGGATAGTACAGGGTTAAGGCATGTACTCAATGCCCCGCATGAGCATAAGCCTGATTTGATACTTTGATGGGGCTTGTTTTTTGGGGGGACTACACCTGGCAGTATTGAGCTTACTGTGCTCAGGAATCACTCCTGGAGGTGCTCAAGGGACTATGCAGTGTTGAAGATTTAACCAAGTTTGGCTGCATGTAAAGCAAGTGCCTTCCACTCCTTATTATCTCCCTGGCTCTGAGTCTGATCCTGACACAGTCCTCATCATTCATAGTCTCCCTAGCACTGCAGCATGTGGACCCAGAGGCTCCTCAGCACTGGTACCACATTGCCCTTGTATTGAAATGCTGAACCACAGGACGAATGGTCTACGGTTGGAAGCCTACCTCAGGGGCTGGGTGAGAGGGCAGTTGGGACAGAGAAGGGACCGTTATGACAAAAATGGTTGGAATGGGGGCTGGAGCGATAGCACAGTGGGTAGGGCGTTTGCCTTGCACATGGCCGACCCAGGTTCGATTCCCAGCATCCATATGGTCCCCTGAGCACTTCCAGGGGTAATTCCTGAGTGCAGAGCCAGGAGTGACCCTTGAGCATTGCTAGGTGTGACGCAAAAAGAAACAAAAACAAAAAAAATGGTTGAAATGGATCGCTCTGGATGGGAGATGTGTGCTGAAAGTGGGCAAATGACCAAACATGATGGCCTCTCAGTATTGCAAAGGATCATGCCCAAACAGGGTGGAGGGAGGAATGCGAGTAACGGGGGAGAGAGAGCGCCTGCCATAGAGGCATGCTGGGGTGGTAGGAGGGACATGGGGGATATTAGTGGTGGGAAGTGTACACTGGTAGATGGGTGTTAGAACATTGTTATGACTGAAAATCATGAAAACTTTGTCACTGACAGCTTTGTAACTATCTCATGGTGATTCAATTAAATAATTAAAAAGAAATGCTGACCAGTTGGCCAAGAACCACTGGGAGTGGTCCCTGGAGCACCGTTTGGGGGAGTTACCCTCTAATTGTTCTGTTGAACTTTTCCAGGGTTTTCCCACTGTTTAATCCCTAACACCATTCTTTGCTTTTTTGGGGGATGGGGGAGCCACACCCAGCAGTGCTTAAGGAGACCTTATGAGGTTCTGGGGATTGATCCCACATGCAAGTGTACTACCCCCAACATCATTTTTGGTCTTTAGGTCATACCTGGCAATGCTCAGGGGTTACTCTTGTCTCTACACAAACCTGCTGTACTATGGCTCCATCCTCACTTTGAACTGAGGGCTGGGTCATCTCACTAATTAATTCAGAACTTCTCAAGTTTGACTTTTTGTTCACTTCTGGGACACACCCAGCATCAGTGCTTAAATGTTGCTCCCAATAGTGCTTGGAGAACCATTTGGTGCCAGGGATCAAACTTGGGGTCTCCCACATGCAAAACATGTTCTCAAAATGTTGGCATTTTTCCCTTGTAGGTAAAAAATAATTTAATTCCCTTCGCCACTGTTAAAACCATTAAGGGTTCAAATAAAGGCACACCTCATTTCTCTTCTATAAACATGCACTGACACATACTGATAAAAGTTAGTAGAAATCCAGTATTACACTGTCTGGTAATCACCATAGGTGACTCTAAGCAGCAAAGCCCCAGGCCCCCAAGTTAACCTTACCTTTGCAATGTTCAAATATCGCTTTAACTACAATGTGCAACTTCTTCAGGTAAAACAGGATCAAATCAGGTGTATGTTTTATATCTATTGGAATTTTAATTACAATCTTTTCCTCATTATTGCAGACACTAAGCAGTATCTCTATTACAGTGTTTTCTAACAAGGCCAGCAGTTCCATTTTTAGGATAAAAGACATCTTTATACTTACAGGCCTGTTCAGATTCTCCCTTTAGCATTTTCAACTCTTCACTGTTACTAAAATTTACACTGGTAGGATTTATCTGTTTCACGTAAATCTTAAAACGCATCAGCATCGTTAATTCATAACACTGATTTTTTAAAAAGTCATTGGGGCTGGAGCAACAGTATAGCAGGAAGGGCATTTGACTTCCATGTGATTTTGGGTTCAAATTTCTGGCACCCTATATGGTCCCCAGCCCTACAGGAATAATACTTGAGAGCCAAGAGTAATCCTTGGGTACCAGGTATGACTCCCAAACAAAAACAAAAATAACCAGAAAAAATAAAATTACTTAATTGTATAAAAATATGAGTTGGGGGGAAATTATATTACGATTTTATCATTGACTTACAATTTTATGAAATTACAGATTAGTTCCATCACTTATGCTTGTATATTCACCACTTCCACAAAAAAAGATATCCCAAATATGAAATAAAAAGGAAACATAGCTAAGGGAATAAAAAGTCATTGGTATTAACTATTTCATCTATAGAACTGAGCACAAGAATGGGGGGTGAAGCGGGGGAGGGCCCCTTGGGACATTGCTGGAGGGACGCAAGCTCTCTGGTGATAGGTGGTGTTGGAATGATATATGCATGAAAAATATGAGTAACAACGACCAGAGAGATAGTATAGTGGTAGGGTGCTTTCACTGCAAGCAGTCAATGCATGTTCGATAGCCAGATCCCATACTATTCCCCCAAACTACCAGGAACAGTCTCAGGAGTAAGCCCTGAGCACCTCCAGGTGTGGCCACCAAACCAAAGAGAAAATAATGACACAATAATATTAAGGAGAGGAAATAACTGTTGTGGGCTTGCACCAGATCCATCCTGGTGTTAAATGTGTAAAGACACTGTGAAGCACCCATTAATTCTGAATTCCATTTCACTGAAGGTGACAAACTCTGCATATTAACATCCACCGTTGATAATCTCTCACTTAAAAAATCCCAAATCATGTAAAAACCAACAGTCCAATATTTGGTTGTGGCCAACATGCTGGGCTCTAAGTGCCTCTTTACCTGCTCAATTAGGATGTTCAGCTCCACTGGGCTCAGGTCTGGGGATACTTCATTGCCCACCTTGCTATTATTTTATCCAAAAACCCCAGAGTATTCCCTGGAGATTGTTGCTCAGAAAAAAGTGCAGAACCGACATAATCACCTTTGGCTCCTTTTTATTCAGGAAGCATACACTAAATCTTTTTATACATATTTTTGTACATTGCAGAAACCAGCGAAAATAGCCATTTTAAATATGCTACAAAGTTGACTCTTGGGGCTTGACAAGCTGTTTGAGAGGGGGAACCAGTCAACTGATCTTTTCCTCAAATCACTGATGTTATCTGCAGTTTATTGACCGAGCTCTGCCACAGGGTGGCTGTTTGGATGTGCTGCCATCCAAACTGAGGGAAAAACGGTGACGGAGAGGTTTGCAAGTCTCTCTGCAAGGCACCAAGAACAGACAGTTCCAGCTTCCTTTCTTCAGAGTGAATCAAAGTTTTCCCCAACTTTCCAAATATCTCTTAAGTAGTCCTCTCTCAGCATGAAGACTAGAGATTTGTTAAAAATTGAAAAACAACAACCATCTATCACCACAGACAGTAAGTCGCTTCCAATTGTGAGGAAATCACATGGGAGAAGTTATAAATAAATGAACATTAAAGTTACTTTAGGAAAGTTTTACACCAGTTAACTGGGAAGGACGTGTACACGCACATCACAAGGGACTCAGAAAACAGTCTAGAACCGGCTCTACACAAAAAGAATAGGTAATACAAAACATGATCTGACATTTTCAGTTAAGTCTGGAATGAAGAATGTAGTCTGACTGTAGCTGATGTCAATTGTACATATTGTTACAGGTTGCTGTGCTATGCCCTTCAGAGTGAGAATTTTTCTCAGGAGTTAAAATCCCTCTGGATGTGTGTGCTGGCTTTATACCAACTACTAAAATGAAAGGGACACAGCAGTATCAAAGACACACACAGGGAAGTGCGCAGACGTCATCTGCTGGAGTAAGCTTGTGACAAGTGGACTGGAAGGTCTGGGTGGGGATTTGAGAGTTACTAAAACACTATAGGAAATGAACACAGCAAAACATCTTAAGAATGGATATACTTTGCAATTCAATCATGTAGCATTTATTGAATTAATTGGCCTTATTGGGTATTCCACAAAATAAATTAAGGAGAGCTCAATTTGCTTGAGGCATAACCAGCTCATAATGCCCGACTTGACCTTCCTGTTTGAGTTGATCCAATAGGTCTTCCTTCCGTCGTTTCCTACCAACCACTAGGTATCTGTCATGGCCCACCCCATGGGACTTACTCTTAAGACCATACTTTTGGGCGATCTGATGAATTTGCTTCCGCTCATCATTGGTCAGCTCAGTTGAGAAAGTCAAGTCGGTGTGGCTCTCGGAGCGGGCATAATTCCGGATGATCTGTTCGATGTCTCTCTTGGCAATCCTATTCACCCTCTCGACATCTAGACCCAGCCCTTCCCGCTTATGCTGCTCTTTTACGGAGATGGGCTCCCGAATGCCCTCACCGGATTTCCCCAGACCCCCACCCGTCCACCCCATCTTTCGCAGCAGCTGGTTGCCAATGTTATCCTCTCGGATCTGTTGCTTGTATGCCTCCTCGGCTGAGCGGCCCTGAATCTCGTTCCTTGAAATCACATCTTCGACAGCACCTTTCTTCAAGTTGTTAATGACGGTTGGCTGTGTCTTCTTGAGGATCTTCACGGCCTCCCCGGCTGCTTCATATTTGACTGTTTTCTTCACCCCCACGGCTTCGGCAATGACCTCACTCTCAAGTATCACCTTGCATTTCCACCGAAGACCTGTCATCCGCTCAAAGACGTACTCTACGGTCATTCGGTTAAACTGTGCTGTATCATTGAGCGTGCACACAGGATTGGTAGAGTTCTCATACACCACGAGATCCTTGATATCCTTCTTCTTTCCCGAGCCCCGGGGGGATGAGCCACTCTGACACTGGGAACTTTTAACTGATGGATAAGTGGGCTGGGTTTTCTGCAAGATTTTCAAAGCCTCGTTGGCAGCTGCATGCTTACTTGTTTTCTTGGTTCCATAACCTTCGGCTAGGCAGTGGTCTTGCAGAAACACCTGACAGCGCCAGGTGCGATTTGGCATCATTTCATACTTGTACTCAATGGACATTTTGTTGAACGAGGCAGAGTTGTTGAGGATGCCTATGGCATCATTTGCATTCTCCGTGATGATAAAATTGGTCCAGTGCTTGGCAGAAGCATTATGAATTGGTTGCCCAGTCGCATCCTTTGTTAGCACCACCAGGTCCTCTGGGGGTTTCAGTGCTGGAGGAAAGTCACAGGAAAGCATGCCAACCTGGCACACCACCAGGTCCTCTCCAAAAGTGTGCTTGAATTTCCGGCGGACCACCCTCACCTCTAGATGTTTCTGCAAAAGTTTGATGGCCAGCTCAGTGGCGCGATCCCTAGACCCATTCTTGCTGCCAGCATAGCCTGTTGTCAAGTAGATATTTTGGCATCGGACTTCACAAGCATAACCATCGATGAGAAGTTTTTTACTTTTGGGGATGTCAGCAGGAGGAATTTCTTTCAAGGGTGCATAGATGTACTCAGGATTCGTCTTACATGCCTGAATACAGCGTGTCAACATGTACGTGTAATTAATTTTATCAGATCCAGCAGTCATCTCAGGATTTGAAAGGCTCTTCCAGATAGTGGCGGTTAACTTATCAATGAAAAACTGCTTCTCAGCTACCACTGACTCAGGAAATGTCTGTGATGCCGAAGGTTCGAGGATTGTCTGGGCTTTTGCTGGCTGTGGTGTGCTGCTGGGACTGGGTTTCCCGCTGTCGAAATGCATGTTGGCTGTTACAGATTGCTCTTTTGTGAAAATAAATTCCGACGAATCAAAATACTGAGAATTCCCATCTTGGACTCCGAATGAGTCTTGAGTATAATCTTGGTAGGTGTTTCTTGGCATCTGGGCAGACCGTGTTTGTTCCTTGACTTCCTTTGTGGGAGGGCCCGAAGATTCTTCTTGTCTTTCCTCATTTGAACTACTAGCGACAAAGTGCACGGGCTCAAAACGTGGTCTAATTTGGAACTTGGAAATGGCCTGTTTTTTTGGAGGATTCTGACCTACAGAATGAGTGAAATTTACAACTCATTAAAATAAAGAGGACTATTTCAAAAGCACCAAGAAGGGACCAAAAAAAGGTCCAGTAATAACCATCCTAAATTCAAGCTAGATCAGGGGGACAAGGTTGTTCACACAGAAAAACTTCAGACTACTCACGTGAACAGTGTCAGATTTTAGACTAAGGAGGGATGTTCCCTACCCTCACAAGAGGAAGGAAGAGAGAAAGGGAAGAGACTTAACAGAAAATATGCCCTTGAGTCAATTATGCGGGTCATCACCATGCATGCCTAACAGATGTCAGAGTTAAGAGGTGGTTCCGGCAGAGTCAAGTGCTACCAGCACTGCAAAGACCCGTTTTTCTTTACGATTATAAATGGAGCGACTCTAGTCAGGGCCTTTTCACACTGCCTTTCTCTTCTTATACCAGAGGTGAGGAACTCCATGATGGTGCCTTTTTCTTGCTTGTTTGGTTTTTGGGCCATTCCCAGCTGTGTTCAGGGCTTCCTCCTGGAGGGCTTGGGGGACCATATGGGGTGACAGGGATTGTACTATTGCTCTGGCCCCTGTGATGGTGCTTTTGAAGGTTTCACTCAAAAGTGAAACAAAATGATTAATCCCAATGTTTGCATCAGAATCTTTGGTTCTGATCCATTTTGAAAAAAAGGAACCAGGCTATATTTTATTTCTAGAACACCTTGAAACAAAGGCCTTTTAATATTTATGGGCTTTTTTGGCACACACTAAGAGGAACCAAAAACTAAGAATACTAAGGGATAGGAACAACAATGCAGCAGGGAAGGCACTAGCCTTGCACATAGCTAACCCAGGTTCCATCCTGGCATCCCACAGAAGCCATCAAGCCCTTCCAGGTGTAATCCCTGAGAGCAGAGTCAGAAGGTAACCCTAAGCACTGCTGGGTGTGGTCATAAAAATTGATAAAGGGGGCCTGAAGAGATAATACAGTGGGTAAGGCACTTGCCTTGCATGTGACCGACCTGGCCTCATATCCCTGGCATCCCATATGGTCCTCCAAGCACTACCAATAGTAATTCCTGAGTGCAGAACTAGGAGTAACCCCTGAGCATTGCCAGACATGGCCCAAAAAAAGAAAAAAATAGATTGGGGCCGAGTGATGGTATGTACAGCAGGTAGGCTGTTTGTCTTGCATGCAGCAAACCCGGGTTTGATACCCAGTATTCCATATGGTCCTCCAAGCCCTGCCAGGAGTGATCTCTGAGCTCAGAACCAGGAGTAAATCCTGAGCACTGCTGGTTGTGGCCCCCAAACAAACAAAAACAAAAAGGAAAAAATAGGCCTTTACATCACTGTAAGGATTAATGTTGCCAATGTCACTGGCAGCTACGACATTTACAGCACTTCTTTTAAAAGCCACACTGCTCCCTTCAAGCCTGTCTGGCAGAAGCGGACATACGTACCATCACAGGATGAGGAGAGGTGGCGCTTCTGACCTTTGGAAGCTTTGGGCAGCATGAGGTCATAGGAAGGCATCTCCCCAATATCAATACCTTCAGCCATTTGGAGAATTTTTTCCATCAAGCGTGGGCTGTACCTATGAGAAGGAACACAATCTGTAGTGAAAATAGGAAAGACTATAGCTTTTCTCAAGAGCTTCTAAGTAAGCCTTCTTGAACTTACTCTCACCCACCTTTAGCAACTGAATCTCTTCACTATATAGTGCGAAGAACTTGTTCTAAAATACCAAGATACCCAATGGGAAATAACACTATTGGTCTTGGGAATCACCATTCCCCCCCCACCCAAGACATGCAAATATCAAAATCAAGAAATCTCATGAAAAGACTTGAATTCTAAGGTATCAGTCTAAATGAAGGCTCCCCCACCCCCACCCCCGTCCTGTACTCTTTCATAGCTGCATGTTCTATGACAACAGCTGCATCCTCAGTTGTAGAGAAGCAGTAAGGGTGTTGGGAGATGCTGAGCTAGTATCTAGACTGTGGTGTCTCTTTTCCCATCGGAAAGGACTCAGCATCCATAGAGAAATGGCTGATTCCAAGTCTGGGAAAGAAAATGTCAGAGGCACCCAGCAGATCTCTGTAGGCCTGGAAATACAGGAAAATCCAGAGCCTGTGTCAAATCCTGTGTCAAATGCCACAGGTGAGGGTTGAAGAGAGGGTTCAGTGGTACAGCATCTCACATATTGGGGCTCTGGGTTTCATCCTTGGCACCACCACTCCCCCAAAAAGCAAAAAAGAACCCCCCCCAAACCACATGAGTCACATTAAAGGAACTCAGAGCCAAACTCAATGGACTGCTTTTAAAAGGAGAAAATGTAAGGATCAATAAGAACAATTACGGGGCTGGAGTGATAGTACAGTGGGTAGGGTGTTTGCCTTGCACACAGCCGGGTTCCATCTCCGGCATCCCATATGGTCCCCCAAGCACCACCAAGAATAATTTCCAAGTGCAGAGACAGGAGTAAACCCTGAACACTGCCAGGTGTGACCCAAAAAGAAAAAAAAAGAAAACTCATTCAGTAGATTTTAACACATCAAAACCAGTCAAAAAGGGACTGAAGGGGCTGGAGCAATAGCATAATGGGTAGGATGTTTGCCTTGCATGTGGCCAACCCGGGTTCGATTCCCAGCATCCCATATGGTTCCCCAAGCACCGCCAGGAGTAATTCCTGAGTGCAGAGTCAGGAGTAACCCCTGAGCATCGCTGGGAGTAATCCAAAAAAAGCAAAAAACAAAAAGGATTGGAGCAATAGTACAGGGGATAGGCTATGCGCCTTGCATGCAGGGTTGATCGGGTTTTGAGCCCCAGCATCCAGTATGGTCCTCTGAGCCTCACCAGGAATGATTACTGAGTGCAGAGCCAGGAGTAACCCTGATCATTGCTGTGTGTGGCTCCAAAAACAAACAAAAAAGATTTTAAAAAACATTCAAAAAGCCTGTAGTTGTGAATGATACTTAGATAATACTTAGAAACTCACTAGATGATGGGAAGACATCAAGATACTGCTTCAAACCAGGTTGTCAGAAGAAATAAGCATGTCTGATGCAAACTGTTGCTAAGAATAACTAAAGAGCCCTGGAATAAAATCTCTTTTACCAGCTGAGAACTGAAGGAATGAAAACAACTATTCCCATTTGCTACTCAGATGGAACGCTGAAGCTATTATGCAAAAGGCTGGTGGGGGAAACATTCCAGACACAAACATGTCAGCTTTTGTTGACAGAGTCGCAAAAGGCGTAGCTAGAAAATGGCTCAACGGCTTAAGGTGCTTCCCTGGACAGTGCAAGGTGTTGAGTTGAAACCTCAGTGCCAACTTCAGGCACTGAGGTGACACTGCCCACCCTGCTGACAGGATCCCCGGGAAACAAAAGTTCCAGAGGATACATCATAAGCATTGGCTTACGATGTATCATGGGCAACTGTGAGGTCCTGACTCCCCATTTCCCTAGGTCCCCAGCAAGAAAAAACAAAAGATAAATGAATGAACTCAAAATGGATCATAGGGACTAAGTCAATGATGGTTGGAAGGGTAGTTTGGGATGGGAGATGTGTATTGAAAGTAGATAAAGGACCAAACGTGATAACCTCTCAGTATCTGTACTGCAAGCCATCTGTACTATACAGTAATGCCCAAAAGTAGAGAAATTGTCTGCCATAGAGGCAGGGGAAGGGGTGGGATTGGGGGAAATACTGGAGACATTGGTGGTGGGAAATGTGCACTGGTGGAGGGATGGGTGTTTGATCATTCTATAACTGAAACTCAAACACGAAAGCTGTGTAACTGTATCTCACGGTGATTCAATTTTAAAAAAATGGATCATAGGGGTTGGAGCAATACTACAGTGAGGGTGTTTGCCTTGCACACGGCTGATCCAGGTTCAATCCCGGGTACCCCAAATGGTTTCCTGAGCCTGTCAGGAATGACTGTGAGTACACAGCCAGGAGTAAGCCTTGAGAACCACTGGGTGTGGCCCCAAAACAACCTCTCCAAAGTATCATAAACCAATACCAAAAAGTAAAGTCCCAGGAGTCAGAGCACAAGTTTTGCATGTAGTTGTCCCAGGTTAAGTCCGTAGTACCACTGGGTCCCCTGAGTACTTCCAGGATCGACCCCCCAAAACTGAAACAGGATCAGCCCCTGAGTACCACTGGGTGTGGTCCCAATATACCTCCTCTTAAAAAGTGAAACTACAGGGGCCGAAGTAATAGTACAGTGGGTAGGGCTTGCACAGATCAACCCAGGTTTGATCCCTGGCATTCCCCATATGGTCTCCCAAGCAACGTCAGGAGTAATTCCTGAGTGCAGAGCCAGAAGTAACCCCAGAGCATCACCGGTTGTGACACCCCACCCTCAAAAAATGAAACTACAAAATGTTTATATATAAACAAAGAAGGAAATTTTCCAGATCTACAGCTAGGGGTTGGGAAGATAGTTCAATGGACTAGAGTGCATATTTTGAATACTGAAGAAAGTCCCAGGCTGGAACCCTGCTACTACATGCCCCCATTGGGACATCCTCTCCCTCCAAAAATATACATACACAGAACTGGAGCTAGGTACACAGTTCTTATACTTGAAACCAAAAGTATGATCCATAAAAAAGAAAGATGAATAGAATAAAAAAAAAACCTTTCAGAGCTTAGGAAAGGGCTCAAAGAAATGGAAGGCCGACTTTGCATGAGGGAGTGACTGGGTTCCATCCCTGGCAACACCCAGAGGGAGCCTGAGCACTGAGATGGAAATAGCCTCTGAACACTGTCAGGTGAAAGCAAAAGAACCAAAACAAAAAGTTTAAAAGCTTCGCAAAAACCTGACAAGAGAATTTGAGGCTGGAGTAATAGTGCAGTGAGTAGGGCACTTGCCAAGCACACAGCTAACCCTGGTTTGGTCCCCAGCACCCCATATTGTTTCCTGAGCCCGGCAGGAACGTGATCCCTGAGAACACAGACAGGAGAAAGACCTGAGCACTGCCAAGTGTGGGCCTTCCCAAATAAAAGACAACCAATGATGTGTCCCCAAATATCCTACACTAACTAGGACATAGAGGCACTAGATAGAGTGTGAACACAGAAGCAGGGCTAGGGGGATTTGGTCACAGACAGTACAGGGGTTAAGGGACTTGCCTTGCATGCTGCTAACTACACCTTATCTCCAGTACCATGTATGGTCCCCCTAACACCAGCAGGCATGACCCCTGAACACAGAGCCAGGAATACGCCCTGGTTTGTCCCAAAACCAAGAGAAAAAGAGTATAGACACCTAAAAAAGAAACAATTTTCACTTGTTTGGCTTACTGTAATCCCACATTTCGGATTTTGGGGTAATACCCAATGGAGCTCAGGGGCTAGTCTTGGATCTGTACTCAGGAGTAACCCCTGACAATGCTCGGGGGACTATATGAGATGCTGGGAATTCAATCAAAGGTCAGTGGTATGCAAGTAAGTGCCTTAAACCCTATACTATTTCTCCAACTCCCTACTGTTCCCTTTCCAGAAAAAACACCCAGAGTGCCCCTAACATACCACTGAGAAGAGCTCAGGGATTATTCCTTGCTCTATGCTCAGAGGGCACAGAGGGATAAGGTGCTTGCCTTAACTGCAGCTGCTACCCTACCCCCATTCAACCTGGCACCACACAGAGTCCCCCAAACCCTATCAGGGGTGATCCCTGAGCAGAGCCAGGAGTAAGCCCAAACACCCAAATAAACATAGATTTTTTTGAACTGACACTCTCCTCCCGTTGTTCATCGATTTGCCCGAGCGGGCCCAGTAACGTCTCCATTGTGAGACTTCTTGTTACTGTGTTTGGCATATTGAATACTCTCAGTAGCTTGCCAGGCTCTCCAAGAGGGGAGGAGGAATCGAACCTGGCTCGGCCAGGCTGGCTGTGCGCAAGGCAAATGCTCTACCGCTGTGCTAAAAACAAACACAAGAACTTTCTTTGATTCAATGTCAATAGATTTCTACTTCTGCTCTGAGTCTGTTTGTAATATTGATTTATTTTGTTAAGGTGCTGCAATTTACAAAGTTGTTCATAACCTAGTTTCCAGAATACAATATTGCAGTAGCATTTCCACCACCAGTGTCAACTTCCCTCCATCAATGTTCCCAGGATCCCTGTCACTGTGACTGTCCTCCCTTTGTTCATCAATTTGCTCAAGTGGGCCCAGTAACACTGTGAGACTTGTTACTGTGTTTGGCATATAGAATATATCACGGGCAGCTTGTTAGGCTTTGCCCTGTGGGTGAGATACTCTCGGTAGCTTGCCGGGCTCTCTGAGAGGGGGCGGAGGAATCAAACTCGGGTCGGCCACGTTGACTGTGTGCAAGGCAAACGCCCTACCTGCTGTGCTATCGCTCTAGCCCACCAGGATCCCTAAAAAAAGATTTTTGAAAGGGGTTGTGGAAAGGCTGGACGGATAGTACAGTGGGTAGAGCATTTGCCTTGCATGTGGCAGACCCAGGTTCGACCCCTAGCATCCCATATGGTCCCCTGAGCACTTGAGTAATACCTGAGCAAGAGTAACCCCTGAACATTACCGCTCCCCCCAAAAAAGGTGAAAAAGAGAGTCA